GTTGTCCCCACATACAGCTTTAAGGAGTTCAGCCGCAAAATTCTCTCGAGGGGCCACTGGTTTGTCATAAAACTTTGTAAATGTGGACTCCTGGGACCACCCAGCACCTTTCATAATTGTGGCAATAGAAATGTTGTTCCCCTTTGCTGCAGATGTAGATGCTGATCTGGTGCTGTGTGCACTGTACTTTGAAGTGTCAATTCCAGCATCAAACAATGTAGTCTTAATCCACCGGCTTACTGTATCAGGGGAAACAGCTTTGTGAGGCTTAGTGTAACTAATAAAAAGCTGCTTCACATCACCTCGAAGAATATCTGTACGCTTCAGATATTGCTGAAGATGCTTTACAATACAAAGACTAACATCTGGTGCATAGGCCTGAAACTCAATACAAGCTAAATGTTTACCAGGTCTCAAAGTTTTCAACAATGAGTTAATGGAAAACACACACTTATCAGCACTTATTTGCATACAATCAATTGATAATGTGTACAGAGTCTGGCGACGCTGTCCTGAAAGCAATGCCATCAACCTAATCACTTTCAAAGTCAAGTTCTTCAGACTAAGTTTCTCAGGTGGGCTCAGTTTAGCTAGGTAGGCTAATACCACCGTCACATCCCGAGTTTCTTGATACCTTGGTAGAGAGGGTCTGCATTCGAAGATTCGCTTGATGAAACGACAAACTAAGGGATGCTGTCGAAAAGTGTAATGCTCTGATGTAACACAAACAGTAGATAAAGCACACCGGGCTGTATTGAGAGCACTATATCCAATCCCTGTTTGGTAGAGTTCTGCCAGGAAATTAATCCCATGTTCTATAGTGGCTGAAAAGGGATTAATCTGCCTTTAACTACAGTACTGTTCCCATTTAGCGATGAATGGTTTATATTGTTGTTTAGTGCCCTTTCTCCAGTACTGCAGGATGAGTGAGGTAGCTGATTCCGAAAGGCCTCTGCCTTCAAGTGATTTCTGGACAAGTGGCATATCAGCAGGGTGAGTTTCTGGTGTAGTGGATGCACCAAGTCTGGCTGTTGAGGTAGAAATAAAGTGTGTTTCTTTTTGGGAAGCACAAGGGGTTTCTGAACCAGCAGTCTCATTACCGATGGCCACCATGGCTGAGTTGGCCAGCATGGCACAACCAACAGTCCTGTGGCCTCCTCTGCTTGGATTTTCTGTAACACTTTTGGGATGATACTAAAAGTAGGAAAAGCGTAAAAAATGTAAGGTTTCCAAGAGATTGAAAAGGCATTAATAGCAATTGCTTTAGGATCAGGTTGGTAGGCGACAAATGGCCTTAACTGGTAATTAAGCCGAGAGGCAAATAGGTCAATCTGAGGCTTTACATCAAGTTTCTTAAGAGCCTCGTGGAAAATTCCTCTGTCTAAGGTCCGTTCAGTTTCTTTCCTAGATTTCCTGGACTCTTCATCAGCTAGAGTATTCTCTTTACCCGGGATATGACTTGTGGTTAACCACATGTTATTGTCAAGGCACCATTCCTAGAGCGTACGGGTTAAATGATTTCGCTTTTTGGAATGGCTTGTGCCCATTTTACCTAAATCTGACACAGCAGTCATGTTATCAATTCGCACAAGGACATGCTTCCCTGATAGTTCTTTATGAAATGCTTTGAGAGAAAACAACACTGCAAGCATTTCAAGATAATTAATGTGATTAGAAGCTTCTTCAGGGGTCCAATGCCCCCCAATCTTGACATTATTGAGTACTCCTCCCCAGCCTCCTTTACTTGCATCTGTGTATAAAGTGATCTCTGGCTGAGGAAGGCTTATAGGGTTATGCAGTGACCTTGCTGAGTTTAGCCACCACTGCAAATCACTGCGAGACAACTCAGATAGTTGCATAAATGCATCAAAGTTACCCTTGTTTAAGCGCAAGGCCTCTGTTTTGTCCATGTCCAGTGACCTAAAATGCAAGGGTCCCAGCTGTGCTGCCGGAAAATTTGATATGAGCAACCCAAGAGTGGATGCCACCTCTCTTATTGTGGGGTGTGGACACTGCAACAGGCCTTGACAGGTATGAATTATCTTCTCGATCTTCTCAGAAGTTGGATAGACTGTCATTGTAATTGAGTCTATAATAAAGCCCATAAAGGTGATTCGCTGTTGCGGAACAAAGGATGATTTTTCAGGGTGTACAGTAAACCCAAGGGAATCAAATAAGTTGACAGTATCCCAAACATTTCTTTCACAGTCATCATAGTCGTCACCCTGGAGATATGAGTCATCAATATGACTTGCTGAAAGGTGACCCAGCTGTCTTAAATGTGAATAAACTGGCTTTAATAATTTAGTAAACTTCCTGGGGCAAAATGCCAATCCATTTGGAAAGCAAACATACTTATACAGTTTTCCTCGCCACTGAAACTTCAGGTATTTTTGGTCTGCAGTGGCGATAGGTACAGAATAATAAGCATCCTTTAAGTCTATTGATGCCATAAAGCACCCAGGTTTAACCATATGTAAAACAGTATTAAGTGAGTCCATTTTAAAATGGTGATATTGCACATGAGTGTTTAGGCACTTGAGATTTAAAATAACTCTGAAGGAGCCATCCTTTTTGGCCCTAGTGAAAATAGGAGAGATATATTCCCCTTCTTCGTGACTACTTGGGGTAAGAACACCTTTAGCAAGTAGTTTATCTATTTCGGTATCAATGACATACTCTTCATCCAAATCAAGGATTTTCTTCTCTTTGGGAACAACTCTTTGATAAGGAGTCCTAGTAAATTCAATTGGCTGGCCTAATATCATTTGCAATATCTCAGGGTCTGAGGTTAAGGCCTGCCACTGATTATAATATTCTCTCAGCCCCCCTGCTTTAAAGCAGTGAACTTTGTGCTCAAGATACTGCAACATATTTACCTTATCTGTAGGAATATCAGATCGTTTCACTGGCTGGACTTCTTCGCGGTTTCCCGTGGTTTGTAGAAATTGTTGTGTGGCCGGTAAGACCGGCCCCTCTTCCCTTAAAAAGGCTTTCCACTAGAGTGAGAAGATTTGCCCTTCCAGCCCTCGCTGTGGTTTCGATAAGATGACTTGGCAGTGGTCGTATGACCAATTTTGTTGGTCGCTTTGATGTTGTTAAGCTGAGAGTGCAACTCATCGCCAAATAACAAGCCCGTGATGGGTACTTGAGAGCCACACAACGCGGAATATTCGGCATGTAAGTTTGGTTTGATAGCGTCGCGTCGACGGTAAGACAGCTCAATGTTTACATGGCCTAACAATGCCAGAGCGTCAGCGTTATACGTGACTAATTTCCCCAATTTCTCAATGAGAGCCAACGCTGAAGTCTTCTCAGGATCTGCACGGATGGCCAGCAGTGTTTCAGTCGCTTTGGCGACAGCACTACCGACTTTGACAAGTACTTTCTGCATGTTTGCAAAACGTAAATCCGCGCTCTTGGTCCCGTGCTTCAGCTTATTCCATATCTCGGGGTTGACTTTTAACACAGTTAATTTCTCACAATTATCGGGTCGATTGTATTTCGCCAATTTTCCTTTTAATTTGGCTTCCTCCAACTTAGAGCCCCATCGCTTATTGACGATATCCGCCAATTTCTGAGTGACTTTCGGGTCAGTTTGCTCGTCCGACTCAAAGTCTTAAGCAATTTCATTGAGCAATGCGTCCTCTGTGACGGAGTTGCCCGGTTTTGGCGGTTCGCCGTTGGGCGGGAAATTGAGTGCCTCGGAATCTGACTGTTCAGGGTCTGAATCTCCGCTATCGCTCATTGTACTAGGTGCAGGAGGTTGTCTTCTCCTTTTCGGTGGTGTAGCATGGTCTGCTGGTGCGTCAGCTAAAACTCATTGGTGAGTGGAACTCATTTGGGTCATGGCCGACAACACGTGAGCCAACACTTTGTCTGTCCCTTGGTGCGAGTGATTCGCTGACTCATTTTCTTCAGAAAGTAAATTATCTTCTTCTGCCGGTGAAAGGGGGTCCCTTTCACTGATATTTTCGGCAGCCATACAGCGATTTTCTCGGTGTTCGCTCAACACTGAGCGAGCAAAACGACAAACGTCGGACCTTCCCGAAGGATCGCACACAACTGATCTTCCCGGGCTCGTGCGCTTTCTCACGTGACTCCGTAGCGACCAATGACCAATGACGAAACAGAATAGCTTGCTCGTAGGCAAGTAAAACAGAAAACCGGGAGAAAAACAACAAAATTAATATTTTTATCATCTCTTGAGGCAGAATAACTTGGTGTGAGTCTCCGGTCATAGAGGAGAGAAAATCATTTTGCATTGTTAACTCGCTAAACACAAGACTACCGCTATTTTCACTGCATTTCCGGACTCTTTCGCCTTTATAAACTAAAATTTCTCAGTGAAAACCGGTCAACAGGTCATATAAAATTTGTTTCGTTTGACGCTTGAGAACTAGAGAAGCAAAGGCTCCCGCCGTATTGAAAAAGCTCAGCTTCCTGGCATATATGGAGTATCATCTCAACGATAAGTCACAAAGGACAAACATCTTATTAAATCTTACCTAATCTTTCTCTCATAGCCTTTAAATAGGTTTTCTCGGTATCATTCGCATTATTTAGCCAATATCGGGAGTGGATAGGGGAAGTTAAGACAACTGTTTCAAATGGAATTTATGCCTAATGAATACAAACTTTTCTTGCTTGAAAGCATAGTTTTAAGCGCAATCTTTAGAGCGTGTTGTAGTTCTGGCTCAAATAGATTTCATCAAGAAGTCTGGGCGTGCCGCCTGAAGTCCGTTGGAGCGAGAGGAAATCCCTACATATACAGACTTTTCGGTATGAAATGTTTAGAATTAACGCTATATTTATTCATTCAACTACAAATGGATATCGTCACCACATAAAATCTGGGCGTGCGCCTGTAGACCGATAGAGGGAGAGGAAATCCCTACATATAAAGACTTATCGGTTTAAAATATTTAGAATTAACGCTATAATAAATATTTATCCATTCAACTGCGGGAGAGGAAATCCCTACGTATAAAGACTTCTAT